GAATCAAAAGCATATTTAGAAAACAAACTAAAAACGTTGCGTGACAGAGACTGGAGATTGAGGGTAAATGATCCCAATGTTAAACAGAAAATAGATAAGTGACATACTGTGCACTACGGTTAATATACTTAAGGATTGAAATATTGTCATACGTCATTACCTTGAATTTCCAGAAAAATCGAAGGTTAGATCTGTCGAAGCTTTGAAATTTCAAGGTGTCTCTGTTAACCTTTGGAACCTACATTAGAAATTCCAGCACTGGATAATCAACATGTATCACGACAACCCTGAGTTGTGAGATTTGAACACCAGGCTTATGTCACAAATATGAAGTAAATGTGTCAGAACAGGTTCAAGGGGCATAGACCTAAATGTTGGAATGGAGTTACCATTTTGCCTGTCAAGAAAAAGCGAGACAATAATTCTACCAAAAAGCTTGTTGTAGATTGATATGACCTTAAGTTGCGTTACCGTCTATCCACCAATGATCCTGGTATCATTAATTACTGTTCCGTTTGTCTAGGACCGACCATCTAATGTCTTCTGGGAATCCAGGGACAAAGACAGAGTCGTTTACGTACGTAGAATAACTAATGGACTTATACTGCGTAAGGATGATGTTGTGGCTACCTTAGAGACCAGATAATCATAATCATAAATTTCGCGCGCTATTTAAAAGGACAGTGGTATTGTTTCACGTTGAGCTTAATTCACTGTTTTGATCGTAAATTACGTATCAAAACTACCGTTTACACTTTAATTGAATTTATTTCAGTTAACGTGACATTGTATTTGTGTGTTTCGGTTCTGCTTTTGTGTATTTACTGCATCAAAGCATTCTTGGTCGACTGCGGCTTGTTTATTTGATAAGGTTGTGATTCATCTTACATATCTACCTTGCCTATCATTTTGCTTTATTCTAGGATGGTCGGCTCTGTACACAAGTGTGGACAGCCATGTTGCTTATTCCCCGTGGAAGAAGGGATGCAATGTGACGAATGTAAGAAGGACCCGGCTAGAACCACTATCGTCCAGAATAGTTCCAATCTGGATGCTGAGAATAGTGGTAAATGGATTACGCGGAAACGCAAAAGAGACGGAAAAATACCCAAAGAAAGCGCGCGTGTAGTCGATAAGTCATCGTTGAATTCACGTCCTGAGCATCAGGCAACTCCGCTTAAGTCCAAATGTAAGAAAATATTTAATACTGTTGTGGATGGAAATAGTCTAACTTCACCAAATGTTGTTGGGAGTAACTCGCTCGACCCACATGACACTGTTATAAATAAAGCTAACAGTAAGAAGCCGGTAGCTAACCGGCAGGATCTGTCATCACGGTCAAAGGCCGTGAACACGACTTTTAAGGAAGTTAAACAGGTGCCTAGTGTAATCATCTGGAACTTGGCAGAATCGAAAGACACCGATCCCGCTAAGAGACATGCCCACGACCTGCAGTTAGTGGGATCTCTCATCAGAAATATACTGCCAGAGGAGGTCCCAGGGGTACATATCTCGAAAGTCATCAGACTTGGTAAGTATGTTGGAGGCGAAACCCAACAGAGAAGGATCCTTAAATTAGTACTCGGTAATTTTGAGGAAAGGGACGTATTACTAAATAACGCACGCAAAACTCGTAACTCAAACATTCGTATTCGACCTGACTGGCCACTTGAGGATCGGATCAAGTGGAAGAATGCCCTAACAGAGTTAAAAACTCGAAGGCTAAACGGTGAAGCGAACCTTACGATTAAGGGTTTTCGGGTAGTCAGGTCTTGGAAGCCAATGCTTCCGAGACCTGTGTGGGTAGAATGCATGTCTCCAAAAACACCCTAAATGTGTGTTATACGAATGCTCGTAGTCTTCGGAATAAGATGTCTGAACTAAGTTTGATGGTAGATGACTTAAATCCGGATATAATTGTTATCACCGAAACTTGGCTCACTGTAGATATAGACTGTTCTCCAGTCATTTCAGGCTACATCTGTGTCAGAAGTGATAGAGTTAGAAGTCGCAAGGGAGGAGGCATAATATTATATATTAGGGACCACTTCCGCATTAACTCGATCATATCGGAGGCGCATGTAAGTGGTACGTGTGAGGTAGTATGTTGTACAATTAGGTCTAGAAACGGGTTAGTGACGATAGGAGGAATATATCGTAGTCCGTGTTGTCTCGCTGACGACTTTATCCTAAAACACGTCTGTTCTTGGAGTAAAGCAGAATGTTGTCTCATCGTTGGAGACTTTAATGCACCCCATATAAACTGGATAGAGATCACAGCTCCAGGTGGGGGTTTCGACAGCGTCCTTCTGTCATCAATTATTCAATGTGCACTTGTACAATGTATCGTTAAGCCGACGCATATAGACTTGGAACATAATCCGTCATTGATAGACCTTGTCCTCACACACCACTGTGAAGATATCGTCGACATTCAACACCTTCCCCCACTGGTGAATAGTGACCATGTCGTACTTTCCTTTAAGTTCCGGATACATGGTATAGAATTTGCATCTGCTCCACCCCGTCCAAATATCTGGAGGGCTACTATTCCGGTAATAAGGGACTATGCTATCTCAATTGACTGGTCGGTCGATGCTGATGGATCGATTGATGATGCATGGAATAGGTTCAAGTCTACGTTCGAATCCGTAACTCAACCGTTTATCCCATGGTCAGCACGTAAGCTATCATATTGCCCCCCATGGATTAATAAGGAAACCCGGAAGCTGTTGAAGCGTAGGCAACACTTCTGGGAATTATTCTTGTCAACAGGTCAGGCATCATTTAAGTGCGAATATTAAAAAAATCCGGAATATATGTAAAAAGACCATAGCGAAATCCCGCACGGCTTACGAACGACAGTTGGCATACGATAGCCGTACCTGTCCGAAGCGACTGTTTTCGTATGTTAAAAGGCGGACGAAACGTAGTGATGATATCCCCTCATTACTGCTAAGCGAAAATTCAGATTTATTGGCTGAATCTGATCTAGCGAAAGCGGGGACATTTGCAAACTATTTCAGTGAAGTCTACTCTACGTGTAGTGTTACAACTACTTGTCCCGTTGACAATGACCCTCGCACGTGACAGAGGATATTGTTCTTCCTTTGATAACTAACCTAAAACCTTGTAAGATACCGGGCCCCGATGGGTTACACCCACGTTTGCTGTCGTCGCTTGCGGACATTATCTCAAGACCGCTCACGATGCTCTTCAACATGTCCCTTTCACAGGCTCAACTACCTAGAGACTGGAAAGACGCCATAGTTAGTCCTATATTTAAGGATGGTCAGAGACGGATAGTATCTAACTACCGGCCTGTTAGCCTGACCAGTATAGTAGTTAAGTTACTTGAAAAATTAATTCGGGCTAAGCTACTGAGCCACATTGATTCGTACAATCTGTTAACTCCCGAGCAACATGGGTTTCGTAACAAGCATTCATGCTTGACTAACTTACTCATTGCGAGAGAGGATTGGACAGCTGCCCTAGACAACGGCCAGTCTGTCGACGTGATATTCATAGATTTTAGCAAAGCGTTTGGTAAGGTTTCACACTTAGGTCTTATGCAAAAGCTCTCGAGCTTTGGTATAACAGGTGCTATACAGGAATGGATAGGAAGCTTCTTATGTGACCGCAGACACGGAGTGAGGGTCAATGGAACTCTATCCGAATGGAAACCGGTCAAAAGTGGTGTAACCCAAGGCACCATCTTAGGCCCTTTACTTTTCCTTCTGTATATTAATGAACTACTTTTATTACTTAAGTCGTCGACGTTATTGTTTGCGGATGATGTTAAAATCTGGAGAACAATAAGAAATGAGACTGATCGTTGTTATCTGCAAGCAGATTTAGGCGAATTAGTTAGGTGGGCTCATGATTGGGGCCTGAAAGTTAATTCCAGGAAGAGCGTGTTCATGCACATCGGGCACGATATTAGTTACCACTATACCATTAATGGTACATCTCTGCCACGCGTTCATACGCATAAAGACTTAGGAGTAATTATAAGTCACGACTTAAATACTACTACGCACTGCAGTGCGGTTGCTTCCAAAGGCTATCGCGCGCTATGGTCGCTTCGCAGAGCATTTAAATGCTTTGACGAGGATATGTTTCGAATTTTATATCCCACCTATGTAAGGCCACACTTAGAATACTGTATCCAAGCAGCTAGCCCTTGTCTGATAAATGATACTAAATCGCTTGAGCTTGTACAGCGTGTAGGGACAAAATTAGTAAAGGGTCTTTCTAAACTCCCTTACGATGAGCGCTTAAAACATCTAAACCTTTTCCCCTTATCTTATCGTAGGACGCGAGGTGACCTTATACTGGCATTTCGTATCTTTAATTATGATCTGGGTGTTAATATGTCTTATCTTTTTGCTCCCTCCAGCACTAATAATCTCCGGGGTCATAGCAAGAAGGTTCTGAAACCGCGATCTAATAAACTAAAGGTGGGGTCCCGTTTTTCTCATCGAGTGGTCAATGACTGGAACGCTTTACCAGAACAAGTGGTATCAGCACCATCAGCGAACATTTTCAAAAAAAAGCTGGACCTTCACTGGAAGGAAATCTGTCAGGATTAACACAGGTTCATCAACCTACTATCCCTATTACTGAAGACTGAATCTGACTACATGAAATATCGTCACTAATTGATAAGTCTCGTGGACTACCCACTTCATAACTTAGTGAAGCCGATATAAAGGTGATGCTAAATGACACATAAAGCGTCAAAACGGTAACATCAGCTTCAGGACTTTTATTTCCAACATGTTTTGTTGTATTTAGCCTTGATTTTTTTTAGTGCTTGGTTCTTAGATCAGTCCATCAGTAGTGTACTATAATTTATATGACTAACAAATAATTAAACTTAGAGACTTCGTATAAAAATTCATTATTTATATAGCCTACCAACTTATTTCAGCACGACACACATCTTAAAAACATTTGACAGACCTAGCAATGAAAGCTCTCTTTCTAAAAGTACTTACCTTATAAACTCTCCTCCAACTAAATCTATCTTCGAAATGCATTCTTTTCCATAGAGTTGACATGACTTCAAAACAGGATTCATAGGTATACGTATAATCTGCCAGTTTTTGTAAAAGGCGACCACTTGGACAACACATATCGTCATTAGTTGCTTCTCGAACCTTCAGTTCCGCCTCAGTGTAATTCATCACTATATTAGTTCTTCTAAAGTAATTGTAAATAAACAGAACCTACACTTTGTCAGCTAATTCCTTTCCCTTATATATTATGTCGCGCAGCATGCCTCAAGTTAAACATCGAAAACTTCACAAAAAGAAGTCTGAATTCCTGCGCTGCCAACAACTTACAGATTTTGATATACACAAACAAATTATTCAATGTATTATCGCGCCTCAGAGCACTAGATATTATATCACCACCACTAATCTCACTCATTAATCTCTGACAGATAATTTAGCTATCCAATAAGTTTTAACTAACCAGTTCGCTTTTAGAAAGAACATAATTTTTATTTGCCATTCAAAATGGTTAAAATGGTTATGGACAAAATAGAAGAAGCTTTCGCTTACCGAGCTTCCTTGTCTTGTAGCAGTGGATCACCAATATCTACAGGAAAAAACCTAGGTATATTAGCGATAATATGAAAAAAAGATGTTATCTTTAGTCCTTAAGAACAAGTCAAGTTTCCTCTTAAAGGACTCCTGGGAGGTCGCTTGGATTAGCTCAGTCGGCCGAATTTCAGCATATTACTACTCTTAAGGAGTAGAATGTTTAACTACAGTCCAATCTGCTATGTTGAGTCTACAGTTACTCGGTGTTACCCCCTAGTTTAGTATTATGACTAAGCTTAAGTAGATGTTTAAGTGGATGATCAGAAGTGTTAAGGATAATGGAAGTCATAAGAAGGTCACCTCTAAGATGCCTGTACTCTAACGGGTAAAGGTTAAGTGATTAAAGGTGCTTTTCTTATGGTTTGAATTTGAGTCCCCGAACTAATTTCGTGGCTCGCAGTTGGATATGCGCCAGAGTGTCCTTATCCTTCAGGAAAGAGTGAGGAAATACTATGTTTCCGTACTCTAAATGGAGACCAATAAAACTACTAAAGATTATGTGGAACATTTACCATCAAGCTGGCCCAAATCGCGCTTCAATGTTATCAGTGCATAGTTTGCTCGAAAGGCATTTTTGTCACAGTGTGCGTAAGATTTCAAATCGTAGGGTACCGGCACTCCTAAATATTTTTCGAATTGGAATACTTTTAAAGAAGAGTTCACTAAGTTGTAACTGTATCCCGTACCATGTCGCAGATGGAATACTTTACAATTTGAGATGTTAGAGGTAGGTCCGTTGTTGTCCGTCCCACTTTGAAGTCGAGTCAGATCCTGCGGAAGAGCCATCATATCCTCTTGGTTGCGTATCTCTCTCCAAAGCTTCACATCATCATCAAAAAGCAATAAGTCACATGAAACTTGTTGTGCAAGATCGTTGATGTATATCAAGAAGAGAAGAGGTCCTAGTATTCAGCCCTGTGGGATCCCACTAGGAAATTCCATAGCCTGAGCACAGGTGAAGTTACCATTGACTTTAAAATGTCGATCTTTTAGATATGAAGTGTGCCAGTCGGCTTATATTATATGTTGAATTTACTTCCTTACGCCTGTAACCCCTCGTCGAGGTTCATAGGCCGTCCATCAACATTCTCCATCAAACTGCGTCCTAGGAAATGGTTTCCAGTTGTCATTCATTCCTTTCACATCTACTTCCGATTTACGGCAATCTTTCACCTTCCTCTTTTCCGCTTCCCTTCCGGATTCTAAGTAAGCACTTGCCTCCTGATGCAACGGATGTCCTATCCATCTCCAGCGTCTTCTCCCAGTTTCCTCTTCAACTGGAAGCTAATTTGTTCTCTCCCACAATAGGTTGTTGCTGTTCGTATCCGGTCAACAGACATTGAGTATCTCGTTTAAACAACTGTTTATAAACGCTTGTACCTTTTTGATCATAGTTGTAATAGTTAAACAAGTTCCAGCTCTGTACAGTATAACCGTCTTGACGTTCGTAACGAAGATTGTGACCTTGATTTTAGTTGACAGTTGTTTTGAGTTTTATGTGTTCTTGAACTGTTGGAATGCTGTTGTTGCTTTGCGAATCCTTACTTTTAAGACTGCATCCGTTACTCCGTGTTCATCAATGATACTGTTCAGACGTAAAGTCCTGTAAATGTAAATAATTCCCTAAAATCAATAGCTTTCTAAGTGTTCGACATTGGATGCTGACCACGTTGTTTAAGTGGACTTGTTTAATTGAAGGCTTTCGGTCATACATCCGTACCAGATCACGTTTCGACTCGGCGTGGGACACAGCTCCTACGTTCACTAGCCAGCCTAGAATAAACGCTTCGCGATATATTGACAACGTATCAAATACATCTTTCCTACCTCTTCTCTTCTGATTTCCATTGGTCGGGAATAAGCTTCGAATATAGGTGCTACTGGAAGCAAGTTGTAAAATCAGAATACTAGTCGTATCCTCAGTCCACTTCCAAATAAACACAGAGAGGGATTTGGATTTTCTTGTAGCGCGGTCAATAACTGGAGTGACCCTTCCGAATAAATGGTATCAGCCCCAGGGCTAATATTTAGGTGGTTTGTCACCTGTATTCCTACGGATTCCTTCTAGAATTTCCCTTAAAAAAAATCATTTTTTTGTTTACTTGAGCCATTAATCAAGTCTTCAGAAGAAGCCGGATCTTTCTGGAAAGCAAGTTTCAAGAAGTAACACAGATAAAGCGGTCTGTTATCTTCGGAACTGAAGAGGCAACAGAATTAACACGGGTTCAAACTAACACAAGGTTGCGACTGCGCGACCTTGAGCCTGGAGCTCCTTTCATTTCAGTTCGCGACAGAAATTGTAGGTCTAATAATTTGCTTCACTTTGGATGTATTCTCCAGTTGATTTTGAATTGGTACAGAGTAAGCCAATCTCGGTTGCAACTGTACTAAGTTTTAATTATAAAAAGCGACTTCGCTATAACACACCTAAAATAGTGCTAAATTTAGTGATGATTTGTAGCTCAGGTGGATGATTTTGATGGAGTTTTGTTCTCTAAACTCATTCTCTCAGCTAAGAAAACAAAAATCCAGCTTGATTTAGTTCACGTGGACTAGATTTTGTTTATTATGAAACAAATGAACCAAAACACCGGAAAAATTAGATTTTGACTATTTCCATCACCATACACCACTTAATATCTGCCATATTGTAGTTAATTTTTTAGTGGAAACTCTATCAGCGAAATTTTTGGAATCTTCCAGGCAATCAAAGAAGGGAAATAAAGGCAAACAAGAGTAAAAATAAAGGAAAGATTTCGTCAGAAAATAATGGAGAAATAAAGAGAAGATTCCTCAAAAAGTCTCCTATCATAGGTAACTGGCGCGAATTCTTCCCTTTCTGTCGCCTTATGTTTGAAATATCGCCGAGTCGTCTATTTTTCGCCTAAATACGCGCCGAATTGTTTGCCTTGCCCCAAATGTCTTCTATTTTCCCCTTCATTCCCAATACAAGACACTTGTCAACTGCTGTCGAGTTGATTAAAAAATTATACACGGTTAAAGAAACTGGCAGTAAATAACATAGTTTACAAAGAGATTGGCAACAATCAGATGCTCGTTACATGTTTTCATTGTAAGTGTAAAGCTTCACTGTCGTTTATGCAAATCTGCCAAAGTAATTACAGGTAAAGCATGACTCATCAAGAATGTGTCCTAAGTGTATATGAAACCAAACACGCTCACAATATATATTTGAATATTTCCAGCACAGCACATGCAAGTCAGAAAGTCGATGCATGGCATGAAAAAGCTTTATTAGGAATGAAGTTTAACTTTCATTGCGAAATATTTCCATGTTAATGTTATGGAAAAATTGTCTATTGGCTCGCATCTGTGCAAACGTCCAAACAAAACAACAACCACCAGTATAAATGAGTGACAACAGTGAGTGAAGTGTTAAAAGTTTTGTTTACTCATCCACAAGGTACTACATTCATGTATATTGGGGGTTATAAAAAAGCATGACAGTCAAGTTATCCAAAATCCTGTTAGCTAACATAAGTGAGTGGTCAATGTTGTGTTTTAAATTAATAATCCATGAGACGGTTACTATTTTACAAAAATTTGAAGGCTTTAATTGATTTCAGTTGAATAACTACTTACTCTCATGTTCACTTTCACAAAATTTTCGCAGAACTGGGATTTCCCTAATACTTACCCAGAATTTTCCCGGGTCTAGTTTTTTCTCTTGAAATCACTTGGAAAAAACCCAGAATATGTAGCTTAGGTAGTATAACATTACATTTTATAATCAAAGGTTATATTGGTAGGATTTAGTAGGTTTGCTACAAAATGCAAAACGTCTTGGTTTATATCTTGGATTCAAAGTCTTTCTCCAGTTGGATGTGTTGGTCTTATCCTTCGATTTGTGAGAAAATTTTGTGTGGCTTCGTCCATAAATTTTACCGGATTTCTTCTCAATAGATTTGAACGTACAAATAACCATATAATAGACCGACTAGCATGACAAGCGTAGTTATAGAAATCTCACAAAACACTGGAAACGATTCTTTTCCAAAGCTCACCGCTTGTTGCATAGCGCAAAGCATGGATTTAAAAACGGTTTGTCGTTCTCCGTAAATCTTCCATTCCCAAGACAAACCAAGTACAGTCCTTGGGCAATGGAAAATCGATAGATATAATCCTAATCAATTTCAGCAAAGCCTATAACTATATATATTTATAGTTATTTCATAACTATTTGCCTAGAAGCTTCTTAAATACTGGATAATTCATCACTTCCGTTGCTCAGAGGAAAGCTGACCCATATCAGTCCAATTTCAATACAAATTATCTCCACTAAGTTAATTACCCAAGTAGCGCAGTCAAGTATGAGATTCCCATCTGGGTTTATTTGGTTAGTTTTCGAATCTGAAAAGCAATCTTAACATAATATTGAATATGCATCAGCAATAAGACTGAATTAGATAGGGTTTGAGTCGTATTAAATTGGAAATGTACTAAATCTTTGTGCAGAATAAGAAAGTGGTGTATTTTTACACTCAACTTAGGTTTCAGCTTGTTAGTATAAGATGAAAGCTATGAAAATTATACATTTAAGGGTACCTTCAAACAAATAAATTTTGCTACAAAAATAGGTTATCGAACTACTAATCAAAATTGAAACGAAACAACAACTTCTGGTCTAGATCATAAGATTAGAAAGTAAACAAACCAGTAAAAAATTAATCTCAAAGTAGTTAATTTTACTCAATCCTATCAGCAATTGACATCGCATAGATAATATGCGTAAGTGGCGACAAATTTAGCGTCTGGATTTTGAATGGTTGGCACATATAACTTGTTATTGTCTTGATGACGTTTTATTGCTGAAAACTAAATAGGAAGCTTTTCTTGGTCACCTTAAATGACCTTTCGGATTTTCCACTAATCTGTCTAGGCTGATGGATGGATTATTTACATTAAAATTAACGGGAAAAATTATCAGATTTTACAACTGTTATCTAGTTAGAGAAGAGCATTTGGTAAAAGATGATTTGTGGATTCGAGATGGGATAATTCTCGATGGATTAACTGTATTCTTTTCTGAAAAGGCAATGCCAGATATTCTCATCGATGTTGGCGGGGGTATTATTTCTCCCGGTCTTATAGATGTACAAGTTAATGGTGCATATGGGTATGATTTCTCAAATCCAGATCAGGACATAGAAAATGTTTGTAACCAGGTTGCGGAGAAACTCCCACAAACAGGAGTCACAGCTTTTTGTCCAACAATCATTACTTCCTGTCAAGAATTGTATCCAAAACTTATATCAAGATATCAGAAATATGTAAACAAACCTAACTGTTCAAAAGTGCTTGGGATTCATCTTGAGGGTCCATTCATTAGCACAGATTGCGCTGGAATGCACCAAACAGACTACATAAAGGGATTCGGTACTGATCCTATAAAGGTAATTTTCAACCTTCTCAGTCTTACAGTGTCAGTCCATTTCAGAGATTTACGGTCCCAATCTTGACAGAGTTAAGATGATTACAATTGCGCCAGAATTGGAAGGTGCTACAACAGCTGCAGCATACTTATCTTCACTAGGTATCGTAGTGTCTATTGGTCATACCAACTGTGACTACGAGTCGGCAGAATCTGTTTTATCTTCAGGAGCAACTTTCGTCACTCATCTATTCAATGCTATGCCATCTTTCCATCATCGTAAAGCCCACATCTTCGGCTTATTTGCTAGTACTAAGACACCACTCCATATTGGGCTAATCGCTGACTTGGTGCATTCACATCCAGCTGCTCTACGTTTAGCAGACGCAATTTCACCTGGTCATGTAACCCTTGTCACAGATTGTAACACCGCATTCGGCCTTCCAGATGGCTCGTATACATTCGGTGAGCAAAATATTCAAGTAGAAGCTGGCAAGTACGTGTTTAGCAGTTTATACTTAATATTTGCATTATTTCCGACAGTTAAATGTTTTTCACTTTTTTGTGTCATATAGAAAAAACGTGGTATCGTGAATCAGTTAAGTCCATTTTTCCTTCCCCCAACATTCAAATAAGGGTCGACAAATTTCAATCTACGTAATACCACTATACCTTCTGCACCGGCGACTGGTATTTACCTCTTAAATATTGTAGTACAGCATTTAAAGCAATTTTTATTGCGACCCCTCAGTCTAGTTCAAGTTGTCATTTTCACGAAGATTCATCTGAATTTTAGCTTAAACCCAGAGTAATAGTGTTTAATATATCTATAGAAATAAGATTCATGCGGCTTATCAGAGTCAATGAGATCAGTCTGGTTAGGTTGATGACATTAGATTTTATTCGGAGTTTTCTGCGTAGTGTGTTTTCTTAGTATGATAGATCACAACTAAAAGTGCAGTCAGATGCATCGAATGTAACTACATGGCATATAGGAATGTTGAAAAGTGATGAAAGGGTGTGATCGTGAATAAGATTATTTCGAGTGCTGTTAAAGGTACAAAGGCGGTCGTCAATTCTTGTTTGCTTACACCGTGAAAAGACTTCTTTATCGACCTGAACAGGGAACTTTGTTAGTAATGGTCTTGGTAACCCAAGCGCACAACTGCAGAGCTCAAGGTTAGACATATTCAGCCTCTTTGCGAGTAGTTCTTGGTGTGTTAGCTCATAAGTCCTTACTGCAAACGACGGAAATCTGTGGCACAAAATGAGGTGTCATCTTTAGGACCAACTTTTTCTGACCATCGTTCCATTCTGTCAAGGCATTATCGTACGTGCTTTTTATCTAAAAGAAACACTTCTGTCGTCGCACTCCAGGACAATCAAAGGTACAACTTCGCTCTCCGACTCCAATTTTCTGCTTTTATTCCTACTGTTTTTCAACCGATCTGCCTGGTATGGTGGGACCTAAAGGGAAAAATATCCAGACTAATATGGCTCAACTGATTCATCACGGTAAGTAAGCCGAAAATCACGTTATGTTATTAGCTACAGTTGTAACCAGAGGTTGGAGATGTAGCTCTGATGGCCTAGATGCATTCATTGTCTCTTCTAAGAATCTGGATTTCGAAATTATCTTATATTTTAGTCCGACGAACATATTCTTTCCTTATTATATCTTCTATACACAGTCCTTCTTACTGCTACTCATACTGTTACTAATTTTACCATAGAGATTTGTCTTGATGAATACATCTAGCTGTGCTAATGTGACGTGGTAACTTGAACCGATGCACATATGTGCTAGCTTCTAAGTTTCTTATAGCTGACTTATATAGCATGTTTATAGAACCCTTGACTATTAGTCAGGGCTGCACGGAGAGATCTAGATTTCCCGATTTCGACCCACACATTGATTGTAATTTTCCGGTTGGACACCTTAGATGAGATGGCTCAAAATGAGTCACAGTAGCGCAAATATATTCAATACTTGCTTTCCTTTAGATCTACCTTCGTTCTGGATATTATCTTCCCAGTTTTCAATTGTTTGTTCCTGCTTTCGTTGATTCCACAATGATATTAATCGAAAAATTAACCACCCAAGAATGTACATTTATTGCACAACTTTGAAGGTTAGTGGGGAACGATCCCCAGGTGATTATGCGAGATGTAGGTTTAAGACAAGCGTTCACCGTCGACCATATCATTCTCACGTTCTTTGTTTGGTCATCTGTATTTGCTGGTCCTTAATAAATATTTGGTGTTTTCGGTATCAATCTTAGGGCATACATTGCTGGTACAAATTGTTTAGCTGGAGGCACTACGCCATTGTTAACTTGTGTCAGAAACTTCTGGCTAGAAGTCACCCGTGAGAAAATCAACGCTGAATCCAGTGTTCCAAAGGAGTGGGCTGGACTTGGATACGCACTGGCAGCAGCTAGTACAAGGCCAGCAAGTGTTCTTCGCCTTTTATCTTCAAATGCATCAAACTCAGAACATAAGTCAAGTTCCGAATCCATTTTGCCCTTGGGAACATTAAGCTCGGGTTCTTCTGCAGACTTCATAATTATACGCCCAGTATTAAGTGAGACAAGTCCAAAACCTGAAATTAAACTGTTATGCACTTGGATCAATGGTAAACCTGTTTACTTCTGCTCAGATTATCATGCCTATATCAATATAAAATCCTCGACGTAGTATTTTCTAACATAGTTTATCGTTTTTTTACCAAATGATTGTTTACTATACCATTCAATCTTGACTATTCGAAAATACTTTTACGAAATATAAACTAGTTTTTATATATCAAATGGTTCTCTAAATTTATTCACAGGAAAAATGTGAATATATTCATAAATACAGGCAACTGTCATTCTGATCGGTCTTATGACAAAATAAATTAATCAATTACAATATGGGTCTAATTGGAACACTTTGTATGTGTCGCTGGTAAGCCATACATATAAGGCCGTCCTCAGATAAGTTGTGAGCAGAATGTCCTAATTAGACCAATACTATCAATGATTAATTCGTACTGAAATTCCACGCTGGTTCCATATACCTTGTGACTCAATCGCTTGGATTATTACTTCCCAGTAGGGCACCGTCAACTAAGTGCTCAGAATTTAACGTCCTATCACAGGTAAAACCTACACTCCATGATTACCCACCAACCTACAAGGGATGATCAGACTTCCAATGTAAGTGTTCAACTTACTCAACTACCTCATTCCTGATCACTACTTTGGGCTTTGACGCAGACCAATGACATAGCCAAACAGAACTAGCCGATTAATGTCATTTGATGGCAACCACATATGACTTATAGGACAACTGCATGTGATTGGCTAAGGAATGGAATCATTTTCTAAGGGGTAGTAATATATATACATAGTAGTATTTTATATATCGTTCGGTAGCCCAACAGACGTTCTGTTCCACTCTTGACTTCTCTCTCAAATAGTTTGAGAGTTTAGTGAGTAACACGTTGCGCATCGGTGTCAGATCTCGAACACTGCTTATCATAACAACCAGTGTTGAAGCGCAATTTTCAATAGTATAGCCGTTCAGGGCGATTTACAAACTGCATTTTGTTAGCGTCTTCACTAAATAAAAGTACCCCTACGTTCTAAGTTTATAAACAAATCTAACAGTAGAAGATTGAGCAGTGGAAAATTAGCATAGAGAGGCTAAGTTTTCAGCCCGAATCCCAGAATAGTAGAAGCAGTAACATTATGAGTTGTCTTTGAAAAGATTAGGCATAGAAGACACGATTCAAAATATAAATCAGTGAGATAAAAACACGGAGAATGTTATGAGAAACACAGGATTTGGGAGTCATTCCAAACGGTTTCGAGCCATATAATTAAAGGTTTTTAACCATTGGTTTCGATGATCAGGTGGACCCCAACTCAGGTAGTCTACACCTATTAAGAAAACTCATTCCAACAGTCAGTGGCTTGAATTGATGCCATGTTCTTGGTTTGGTCGCCTCTAGCCTTGTTCCAGACTACTACACCACACAAGCTTGCCCGTCGAGTTGGGCCGTGGCTAGACATACGTGAAATATAACTCACACGCTTCAGTTGATGAAAGTTTACAACCCCACTGATTGATTTAGCATCCTTACCTAATACCCTATTCCTGGCCCACTGCTTACTTCATGATCACAAAATACACAAGGAATGCTTTAAAGAAACCTATGATCGAATGCTAGTAACTTGGGAACATCTATTCTTAAAAGCCAGGTTTCACATCCGTAAAGTAGGACGGAACAGAATGTTGAGCAATAAACTTGCCCTATGGTTGGCGAAAACCAGTAGGGCTTTCTACATCCGTGACAGGACTTCACCAGGACTGAAGAGACCCTCGAAATATGTAAGGCGGTCGATAGTCCAAGCAACTATCAGTTCAGTAGACGCCGCTGAAATCCACCGAATTTTTTTAACCTTTTGATTTAATTTACTAGTATATATCACTTCTATTTCCACAGCTTTTTAGATATCATGCCAAGCTACACCAGGGTGAACATCATTTTTATAGTTGACTAACTCTAGGTGTTTCTGAAATATATTTTCAACTTTTATTAATTAGAACTTAACGGAGTTTTCTCGCAGTGGATTTTCTGTGTCCAGTAAGATGCAAACAAATATGTGCTCAAACAAGAGCATGATGTGAGTCTAATCATGTACTCGAGGATGAATGACAGTCTTCTATCGAGTCCTTCCAACGATGGCTGATGACGATTTGGTCTATTTGAGTCAATCGTTGAGTTGATTGTGGAGATCGCTACATCAGACGTTTCTCCTTATGTTTAAAGTTGGTGTTTTCCAGAAATAGACGGTTACCTGAACAAAGTTGTAACAGACAGTTGCTATTATCTGTTTGCTGAGCCGCAACACCGTAAGATACGCCTGTACCTTTCGGTTCAATTTAATTTGCCTACTATCACTATACCAAAGCGTTTATCTTTTTTTAAAGGTTTGATAGCTTCCTATGAAATTCGTCTTTAACTTTATCCGAGCTGCAATCAGTGGGAGCGTAGGCAGAGACAACAAAAAGACAAAGGCATGTGTCCTTATCTTTTCGGGTTTTTTACCATCCTGTTTAGTCGAAATTTAAACGGTTGACCTAACCTAACCCCTTATTTCCGTTGCGAGCCAGGATGGCTGTAGATATTGGTTGTTCGAGGAAAACACCTTACTGCTGTCACAGCCTTCTGCAATCAGAAGTACGACTCCGCCCTCAAACCTCAAGTTGCTGATTTTAGTCTTCCAGTTCTCCAACTGACCTGCCTGGCATAGTATGACCTGAAAAAACATGTTCCACTCAATATAGCTCAGTTATCGTTATAGAAAAGCTCAATAACCAAGTCAAGGTAGCAGCTGCGGTCGGGACTTTCTGAAGCAACAGAACATACATCCACAATTAGGTCGTAGTTCAAGGTCATTCAAGGTCTCTAACCATCGGTTGCTGTCATCTACCTGGTTGGGATTCGCGAGATGACAGCAACCGATGGTTAGAGACCTTGAATGACATGGCTCAAAATCGTTTGCAATGGCGAAGATGCATCCACTCTTTGTGTTCTACCAAATTCTAATCTTCTGAATTCCTCATGTCTTTATCTTTTTCTCTTTCCAAATTTATTTCACTGTACTATACTCCTTCAATAATTTCTTCAAACCCCTAATCTTTTGGATTTCTGATTATACTCCTACTACTTCTACCACTATGGGATTTGAATCGACAACTGCATCTCTGTGCTAATGTGGTATGGCAACTCGAACTGATGTACATACGTACGAAGTTCTACGTTGTGACTGACTGACTGACGTAGTTCAAGGTCAAAGCGACCTTGTGGAAACCTATCTTAAAATATTAGAGTCACACACATAGCCACACCGTTGATATCAGTTTCTGGTGACAAACAAACACAAATCTCAAGATAAATTGAATCCTCTACCGTCCTTGTTTCTGGCAGTTCTGTAGTACGAATGGTCTTCATACAAAAGTGAAGGTAGGTGGGAATGCTTCAGATATATTATGTATTTCTGAAAGTTTATTTTATCACATTTATAAAATCCACATTACTTGAACCCTTTATAAGTTCAAATGCATGGACTGAGGCAAGTCAGCGAGGTCATTCCTCAATATACCAAGAAAGGAACAACTAGACACCGCTGATGAGATCCAGTACATTAAGCCCAAATTTTCTAGGCCGTGATGTACATACAATACCTAGTAAACTTCACAAATCAAATTGATCACTAAATTATGCGCGTGCAACTTTAAGACCCATTGTTCAGCGAAATTTCTTACATCTTTTAGTTTAACTTGAGAAAGGATGTATTGAAATTATTTAATGCTGTTAGTTATCCGTAAAGTCATGGACTATTTATATGATAGTATATCAAATTATAGACAATATTCGCATGTAAACACGTCTGGGCACCTTACGAAGTATTCCTATAAACCGAAACACTACAACTGATAGTTTAAAAACAGTTTTGTAGGTAATCTCATCAGATAGACGTACTATTGTTCTTTTACTTGATTTGATTTACACTTATGAACTCACTGATAAATATACTTTTTTCACTTGTCTGCTGGTATTCGATGCGCCGAATCTGTACCCAAATATTACCTCAGCATTATCATTAATCAACACAATTTAGTTATGTCTAAAGAGCTATATCTAAATACGAAAATATACTATAGAATATTAATAGCTCCAGGTGAACTGTACTTAGTATAAGGGCTTATTTTGTGACTAATCTAAATATACAGCCTACTCGCCGTAATGAAGATAATCCAAAAAGTTCCTGAAGACATTACACAGAGAACCGTGAATTTGCACTTAGATATCCTATACTACTTTTATGTAAAAGTACAGAGCTAGTAATTTATTCAAATCTTAGCAAAATCGGGAGTTGATGAAGTCTATGAAAAACTTTGAAATCTAATCAGTTGACTCCTGAGAAAAATACCCTATAAATACATATAGAGTGAATACTCCCAAAAGGTGGCCTGTCCAGAACCTATAGCCGCTACTTTACTAGATCTAAAGAGAAACTAGTGCCATGTCAACTGTTTCTGCACTTCGATTAACTACGGTTTGTGTCCTAATGATAAAAGTCCATCATATATAAATCCCTTATTAACCTATGCTTACTTACATCAGGTTCATCACATTCAACTAACTTCTAAATAAACTGTACTTGCTATTATATGAAACTAAATACACGAAGGAAAACAGTATGAAATATTTAATGAATATTTACTACTGGATTATATTGTCTCAAAATAGTTGAAATTACCAACAAAATTAGACCGCTGCAGCACCAGATATAATTTCAGTGAGCTCACGTGTGATTGCTGCCTGACGTGTCCGATTATAACTAAGCGTCAGTTTACCCAACATATCACCTTCAAATAATGCAAGAAGAAATAGGATACATACCTGCGTTTTTCGTAGCAGAATCCATAGCAGTCATCCGAGCAGATTGTTCGCTAGCAGCTGCTTCTTTTAAGGCAGCGAAAATTAGTGAGGTCAGGAGAAACTCATTGTAACTTTGCAAGACTTCATCATCTACTGAGTCGTAAATACCAATGTTTTCAGAAGAAGATAGTTTATTTAGGCTTAAGAGCGGCTGACTTGTCGTTATGTATGATACAACTGTCCTACAAAATGTCAAAATGAAACAATAATTACTTGAACGTATTGTAAAACATCACAGCCTTATCAAATTTAAAGTCAGTCGATATTATTGCCTGGGCTATTGTGGACGCATCCTCGAAAGTAGGTGCTTTTTTGCCGACTTCATTGACAGTCATCAAAAACATGTTACGATACTGACGAATCATCATTGCACGAGATTTGTCACCAACTAAAAGTAACTTGCACGACTTTTCTAGCTCCGGGTTGTTACGAAGCAAAGCTCTGATTGCCTACAGATTCCAAGATAATTTATTCCACTTTACCTTCACAATACTACTATTAGCTGCACCACATAGACCTCTATCAGATGTGATTGCGATCAGTAGGTCATTCCCACTAGGTTTGATCTCCTTTGGTACTAATTCTGCGGTCTGATAAAATGCTGTGGCAGTCAAGATATGCTTTAAAAGTACCTCGAGCACCATGACCATAAGGTCTGGCCGGACGTAAGTCACGTTCAGCTCTAGCGAATTTCGATGCTGAAACCATTTTCATAGATGCAGTAATTTTCTGTATGTTTTTGACAGACCGTAGTCTCACTGCGATATCTTTCAAAGTGGCCATAGAACAGGATTTTTGTCCAAGAAACGGGGAAACGCATTTTATGCCGAACATAGCTAAGTCAACCCGAGCGATGTGAGTCCTTGAGAGATTAACAGAAAAAGTGAGGTGTTTAAACAATCCTCGCAGATTTTCAAATTATTCTAGGCGGAATGGAAGGAGCTTTCACTTAACAGGACTCTGAATCCAGTAACAGTGAATCACCGATGCCTCCATACAGGAATCAACGTATATTTAACAATAAAAATGAAAACACTAGTAAATTATAACGAGAATCCGTCTTAAGTCCTTAAGTATATGTCCAGTTTTCTTTTAAAGGACTCCTGGGAAGACGCTTGGACTAGCTCAGTCGGTAGCATTTTCCAGAATTTGACTTCTCTCAAGGAGCAGAATATGTGCCTGCAATTTCAGTTTCAGTTTGGAAAGGACAGGAGGCTTGATGGCCTGTGTTAGTCCTGGCAATGATGGTCTCTCAGCTGATCCAACTTTCTTTTGAAGGAGTCGACGGATGGAGCCTCAACCACGTGCTGAGGTAATGAATTCCACTCGTTGATTATTCGATGGGAAAGTCGGTAGTCAGCTAACAAGTAATTCGTTCTGGGCTTGTGAACTTTTTTGGAGTGTCCAGTGCAGTCCATTCTGCTACGTTGTCTCCATTTTATTGGTGTTACCCCAAAGGTTTGTGTGGGAGTGAGTTTAAGTAGGTATTTAAGTAGATGTCGAGAAGTTTCCAGGATTCTGTGAGGTATAAGAAGGCTACCTCTAAGGCGCCTTTAGTTTAATGGGTAAATATTCACTTATTTGAGGCCCTCTTCACAAGGCTTGGGGAAGGAAACCTCATGTTTCCATTCTTTGAATGAGGCCGAAAAAAACTATTTAAGATTATATGGGGGAGTTCCACCATAGTACTGGTCAAGATTGTGCTTCAGTGTTACTAATGCAAGCTTCGCTCGAAGGGCATTTCTGTCGCAGCTAGCGTAAGACTTCAGATTATAGGGTACCAAAACTCCTCGATCTTTTTCTACTTGGGATACATCTAGAGGGTGGTAACCTAGGTATACGCGCAGCCTGCAACATATCTCAAACGAACTACTTTGCACTTTGGAGTGTTTAATGTAAGTCCGTTGCAGTCTTCACTTATTGCCTTTGACTTTTGTTTCATACTTGTTTAAACTGCTTATATATCCTGTTGTCACTAGTTAGTTTACATTCCTTTCAGAAGTGCCTTTTGCGTCTTAGCAAACGAAAAGCAGGATGTTTGATGACTGGATTGTCTACAATTTTCGGGGATCGTCTACGAGACAGACTGTTTCGTAGCACATAAGATTAAATGCAGTAAGAAATCCTAATGAGCGTCCACATCAAGTTGAAGATATGTTTCCCAGTCCGTTTGCTGTAGACTGACATGCAAAGCCAGTATATACGACCTTTTGCAATTCCAACGCCTGTTGTTGAAGTTTTTCACTCAGATTATCCAATAAAATTGAAGGCTATAACGGCATGATCACTTATGTCCAGGGGATCCAGGATTGAGAGCCTGTCAAGTAGAAACTCTTCGTTTGTCAAAATGCAGTCTATAAGTGGTGGTGTCTGACTATTTCTCCACGGATTTGTTAACTTCACAATTGCGAATGATCGCGACCCTTCACTGAGGTTGAAGAACTGAGCGTCAGTAGAGTTTTCACACCCAATGTACGCGTGATCAGCATCATGAGTTATAAACACAAATAAAAGTTGAGGAACGTTACTTGAGTCAGCATGTTGGTGTGTGTTCATTTGCGTTTGGTACCAGAACCCACAATTATAGATAGTTATTAATTCCAGTGAGGTTGGTATGGTTCCAGCAATATAGCCAAACGTAGAATATAATGGAAATGTCGTCACAGTCTATAAATCTAGATGATAGTTGTTTCAAAGTTCAGTTATCGCAACCACAAGCAACGGAGAACAAGAGACGTGTGTATAGTAGTGTAGTTTATTTTATATCCACCTAAACGTTTTAACCACGTCCTCTTACCATCGGTCGTCAACTCAATTACCACTCGAACTTGCCCTGTGTAGAGACTGCAGCAAAACCGACTGCGTCGGTGTTGAAGCGGGTCTTTAAGAAATATTCAGATTGGGCAAACAAAGCCCAGTCTATGTGAATGAATAGGACAATACTTCTTAGGGAAAACCTTTCCTAACTCATCGATCAATATATATCCTTTGTCATCTACAAAGTAAATGCTTTATATCCTCCTCTTTGCTAATGACTTCAACCGCAAAATCATCAGTGGGAACTCGAGACAAATGGCATATCTCCAACTGAATGATAATCTTATAAGTCAATAAAAAGCCAATACACCTTATAAATCAAGTAGTATGGAGTAAACTACTCAACTCAACTGGCAAAGTTTGTGAGGTACAGTGGTGAGTTTTCGTATATCTCTGCGGAGAATAGGGCAGGCCTTACGACAGATATTCGGTTCGAGATTTACTGACCATACGTAGATTCCATAATGAAGCTGCTAAGGTACTGGCTAACGAACTCTAGTCCAATAACACTCAAGCAAATAAACCTCTTCTCACTGAGTTTTCTTTATCTTTTATCTTACGACCTAAAAATTGGAAACTTCGATACTGCCGGGAATCTTATGAGTCCTGTAGCTGTTGAATTCTTGTAGACATGCTAGTCTGGGTAAAAGTCAGACCACATTTGACTGTCTTATGCAACCACCCTCTAATGATCTGTTGTCTGGACTGGTAATCGAGTGTTGCTACAATGACGCACGAAGGGGAATAACAAGGTTAAAGCTTCCGAATTCTCTTCAGAGGCGAATATCCTGAAAATTAATTCTTGAAGTCCTGAGGAACTACCTACTCAATAACTCACTGTTTTCTCACAGGTAAACCATGATATTCGTACTCACTAATTGCTTGGGATGCCCGGGTCACCTCTCTTGAGCACAACAATCAAGTGCTTATATGCCTATTAGAACTCCGAACAATTTCTAAATAATTAAATTATCAAGTTCCTTGCCTCTAGCTGAAACTCATGGCTATTAGTGAGTCGCCAATGACCTATCTGTGGGACTATAAAATTATTGGGTAGAGAACCACTAAACTTCATTCTGATTTTTCGGAGTAGAGTCGAGCAATGGACTATGAAGCGCAAATATATTCAATACTTGCTTTCCTTTAGATCTACCTTCGTTCTGGATATTATCTTCCCAGTTTTCAATTGTTTGTTCCTGCTTTCGTTGATTCCACAATGATATTAATCGAAAAATTAACCACCCAAGAATGTACATTTATTGCACAACTTTGAAGGTTAGTGGGGAACGATCCCTAGGTGATTATGCGAGATGTAGGTTTAAGACAAGCGTTCACCGTCGACCATATCATTCTCACGTTCTTTGTTTGGTCATCTGTATTTGCTGGTCCTTAATAAATATTTGGTGTTTTCGGTATCAATCTTAGGGCATACATTGCTGGTACAAATTGTTTAGCTGGAGGCACTACGCCATTGTTAACTTGTGTCAGAAACTTCTGGCTAGAAGTCACCCGTGAGAAAATCAACGCTGAATCCAGTGTTCCAAAGGAGTGGGCTGGACTTGGATACGCACTGGCAGCAGCTAGTACAAGGCCAGCAAGTGTTCTTCGCCTTTTATCTTCAAATGCATCAAACTCAGAACATAAGTCAAGTTCCGAATCCATTTTGCCCTTGGGAACATTAAGCTCGGGTTCTTCTGCAGACTTCATAATTATACGCCCAGTATTAAGTGAGACAAGTCCAAAACCTGAAATTAAACTGTTATGCACTTGGATCAATGGTAAACCTGTTTACTTCTGCTCAGATTATCATGCCTATATCAATATAAAATCCTCGACGTAGTATTTTCTAACATAGTTTATCGTTTTTTTACCAAATGATTGTTTACTATACCATTCAATCTTGACTATTCGAAAATACTTTTACGAAATATAAACTAGTTTTTATATATCAAATGGTTCTCTAAATTTATTCACAGGAAAAATGTGAATATATTCATAAATACAGGCAACTGTCATTCTGATCGGTCTTATGACAAAATAAATTAATCAATTACAATATGGGTCTAATTGGAACACTTTGTATGTGTCGCTGGTAAGCCATACATATAAGGCCGTCCTCAGATAAGTTGTGAGCAGAATGTCCTAATTAGACCAATACTATCAATGATTAATTCGTACTGAAATTCCACGCTGGTTCCATATACCTTGTGACTCAATCGCTTGGATTATTACTTCCCAGTAGGGCACCGTCAACTAAGTGCTCAGAATTTAACGTCCTATCACAGGTAAAACCTACACTCCATGATTACCCACCAACCTACAAGGGATGATCAGACTTCCAATGTAAGTGTTCAACCTACTCAACTACCTCATTCCTGATCACTACTTTGGGCTTTGACGCAGACCAATGACATAGCCAAACAGAACTAGCCGATTAATGTCATTTGATGGCAACCACATATGACTTATAGGACAACTGCATGTGATTGGCTAAGGAATGGAATCATTTTCTAAGGGGTAGTAATATATATACATAGTAGTATTTTATATATCGTTCGGTAGCCCAACAGACGTTCTGTTCCACTCTTGACTTCTCTCTCAAATAGTTTGAGAGTTTAGTGAGTAACACGTTGCGCATCGGTGTCAGATCTCGAACACTGCTTATCATAACAACCAGTGTTGAAGCGCAATTTTCAATAGTATAGCCGTTCAGGGCGATTTACAAACTGCATTTTGTTAGCGTCTTCACTAAATAAAAGTACCCCTACGTTCTAAGTTTATAAACAAATCTAACAGTAGAAGATTGAGCAGTGGAAAATTAGCATAGAGAGGCTAAGTTTTCAGCCCGAATCCCAGAATAGTAGAAGCAGTAACATTATGAGTTGTCTTTGAAAAGATTAGGCATAGAAGACACGATTCAAAATATAAATCAGTGAGATAAAAACACGGAGAATGTTATGAGAAACACAGGATTTGGGAGTCATTCCAAACGGTTTCGAGCCATATAATTAAAGGTTTTTAACCATTGGTTTCGATGATCAGGTGGACCCCAACTCAGGTAGTCTACACCTATTAAGAAAACTCATTCCAACAGTCAGTGGCTTGAATTGATGCCATGTTCTTGGTTTGGTCGCCTCTAGCCTTGTTCCAGACTACTACACCACACAAGCTTGCCCGTCGAGTTGGGCCGTGGCTAGACATACGTGAAA